TTAAAGCACAGGGCAAAACGGTGGAATGGATCAAAGTACAGTTTTTCAGTTCAGCCCTCGAATACAAATTCTGTATTTGCTCACACGATGATGGGCATAAAATGAGCTGCAGCCTATGCCAGCTGACTTTGGGCAAGAGTGCCGGTTGCTGCAGTACAATTTATCAGTTGCCCTTATTGAGGAGTAGGATTGAAAGAATTTTTCCATCCAGATGCTAACATAAATAACACGTTGATCCATGCATACATTGCTACTGGCTATCATGAAAAACAAGAGAAGCTTGCCAGCATCCTCTGTTATGTTTCTGTCAGGCATTTTGAAATGGTTTGCACGTTGGCCAGAAATGTTATCGGTTCTTTGCTTTTGTTATACCGTGGTTTACTTGTTTTGCACTTTTACAACAGTTACGAATATGAAAATGAACTGAAAGCAGTGACTCATGGTGGAATATGTCATAATTCAGAGAATTCCATCTATTGTTACATTGTATTTTTCCTGAGTTGTTGCATTTATTTATTCAAGTGGACTTGCGATTTATTGATCCATGGCATCTATTTGAGTGGAGGCCAGCCAGAGTTTGTGAGAAAATGATACTCAATACACTGACGAAAGTTCTGACTGAATCTTTGACACCCAAACAGGTCAGGAGTTCCCTGCTGTGGTAGAGTTTGCCCCCTTCCAGAAAGTCTCCAAAAAAAAGCTCAAAAAGAAAGATGCCAAAGCTGGAAGTATCGAGGAAGGTAACAGAAGAGTGAATTATCAATCAGAACTGTAACACCGTGATTTTAACCGTGATTTTTCACAGGACCCAACAAAGACAGCTGTGAGTGGTTTTACACAGCAACACAGGATCCCACAATCAAATATTAGGCCTCTGGCACTGTTACAGTTGTGATACTACTTCAAAATGCAAACAAAATTGCTTTGTTCGATTTCACATTCCCGTGCTGTGACATTTGCTTGAATGTCACATCCTCCCTCAGACCCGGAATATAAACGCTTCTTGGAGAACTACTCCTGTGATGAGGAGAAGTCGATGGCTAACCCTGAGACGCTCCTGGGGGAAATCGAGGCCAAAACCAAGGAGCTTATAGGTAAGCTTTTGAGTAACTATCATCATGTGGTCTCAGAAGTCGGTTCATACAAATGAGATTTCTTCAGAAAGGTACCACTTGCAGGGATGTACAATCAGGGTAGGCAAGTGAGGCAATGCCGCC